AGCAGTGGAGCGCGCACGCTTAACCGCTAAGCCACGGGGCCGGCCCAACCAACCCTCTTCTTACATCACAATAGCTCCTGTCCCACTGGCGAGAGCAAGTCACATGGGAGGGGACCACACACTGCATGGACACCAGGGGGGTTCGTGGGAGGCTGCCAAGGCTACCATCCACCACCCCCATGTTTGTGTTTGTAAAAACACCCAGAGCCAAACCCAAGGTGTGCCCACTGCACGAATCCGCTCCCTCACACACCATCAGTAAACCCTAAAACATTTTCTTTTAAAGGGAAAATAGTAACGACTATGACCTGAATAGAAATTTCCCCGATGCTTTTGAATTGAATAATGTATCAAGGCAGCCTGAAACGGTGGCCGTCATGGAGTGGCTGAAAACAGAGACCTTTGTCCTCTCTGCAAACCTGCACGGTGGCGCCCTGGTGGCCAGTTACCCATTTGATAATGGTGTTCCAGGTAAGCAGACACGGCCAGCTCGGGCTTGCTCAGTCCAGAGCGGAACCGCAGACTCTGCCTGGGAGTGGGGATACACCACTTCCTCTCCCCACGTAGCTTCTCAGGCAGGGGTGGAAAGCCTCCTTTTCCTAACCCTGACCCATCCTTCCTACAACTTATAAACAGTAGATGACACTGTGGCTGAACTGACAACCAGCAACAGGATTATTTGACATTCATCCTGAAACAGTGAAATTGGGATTTAGATTCTCTCACAAGAGGCAACATGGTAAAAAGAAAGTAAAACCACAACAACCCCACTTTCTTTGCTAATCATATGAGTAATAATTGCTTACTCCTCTTAAAACTCTGTGGGACAAGGTAAGTACCAGGGACTTAAAATATTACAGTGGCTTCATTTAACCCCTACGGTACCTAAGGAAATGTTGCTGACCTCCAGAAATTCGCAAGAGTGACTAAGAGGATATTTAGCTTTTAGGCTGATGTAGGAGGAGCTTGGATATGTATATGGCTTATTTTGTGTGATGTCACCGTGTGTATGTTCATTAGAAACTAGGAAGAAGAGTAGAGGGGCACCGGTGGAAATGGGCAGAGGATTTCTCTGGGAAGTTCGAGTCTTGGTGTGCGATGTGGTGACATATTTGCCCACGTGGTGTCGCGTGAGCTTGCTCGTCCTCGAACGTCAACTGAAGGTTCTTGGCTTGTCTTTCCCATACAGCAACTGGGACGTTACACTTCCGGAGCTTGACCCCCGACGATGACGTTTTTCAATACCTCGCTCATACCTATGCTTCAAAAAATCCCGACATGAAGAAGGGAGATCAGTGTAAAAATAAAATGAACTCTCCTAACGGGATTATAAATGGATACTCTTGGTATCCACTCAAAGGTGAGTTTCTCTTCATTCTTCCATCACCGTCACCCACAGGGGCCAGCTGGTTTTGGTTGACCCCAGCAGATGTCAAAGTTCGTTAGGCACAGTACAGTCCCTTCCAGCGTCTCTGTCAGCTCATATCACGAGAGCAGGGGAGTGGACCGGTGGTTTGAGAGATGCTCAGACATGTCCATCACCACCACCGCCTCCTCCATCCTTTCAGATGCTTGTTCAGCATTTACCTACAATGAGCCAGGAACTGTGCCAAGAAAGGTGAACAGGATGCAGATCTTGGGCTGGCCGGGTGGCACAAGCGGTTAAGTGTGCGCGCTCCGCTGCGGTGGCCCGGGGTTCGCCAGTTCGGATTCCGGGCGTGCACTGACGCACTGTTTGTCAAGCCATGCTGTGGCAGCGTCCCATATAAGTGGAGGAAAATGGGCACAGATGTTAGCCCAGGGCCAGTCTTCCTCGGTGAAAAAAGAGGAGGATTGGCAGATGTTAGCACAAAAAAAAAAAAAAAAATAGGACGCAGATCTTACCAGTTTCATAGGGAAGAGTGACACGCAATAAGTCATTGTAATGGCAGTGTAATTGGAATAAAAATAGAGATTTAGAAAAGGTACAGTGTACCACGGGGGTGTAAAGCCAAAATACAGTAGGGAGTAGTAAAGACCTTGGAGCAATTTAATGCTTATGTCTCATCTGATGGGGCAGCTGCTGCTTGGAGCCGGTTAATTATTGCTGTGCAACAGTGCAGCCCCAATATTGCCACGTCTTCTGGTTTGTAAAACAAGCAGGATTTGTACAGGAGGTCTCATGATGTTAAAGCCACTCTGCGGGCTACACAAAAGAGCTCCTCAGGCCGATACAGCGCGAGGGAGCCTCCAGCTTTCCTCTCTCAGACCAGGATGGCTGGGGGCGGGGGAGGGGGGAGACTGCCTGTGGGGACATGGGAGGAGGATGTTCTCAGAAGGGATGATGTGAGCAGAAGCCCAGGGGTGTCAGAGAACTCGTCCTGGTCTGGGAGCTGAGAGACAATAGGAGGGACCTAGGATGGAAGGGCGAGCGGGGCGACAGTGGGCTGCACCCGGGTTTCCATTGCCTCAGTGGAAAGTGCCCCTTCGAGCCTGGCCAGCCTGGCCCTACTAACAGCAGGCTGCAGGCTGCGTCTCTGCATCCCGGCGCTTCCCTAGTCGTCACTTTGATGGCAAAGGCCGTCAAGCAGTCTTGCACAGACTGATAGTTCCGTGTCTGGGTGGCTCTCTGCCAGCTTTCCAGGTTACATAAATAAACATAGACCGTGACTGAAAGGCAGGGGGGCCAGCTAGACACCACAGCATCCCAAACTTCTCTCTGCTGTCTGAGACACAGTCTCCCCACCCCACGTCAGGGCCCCAGCCAGTCCCTGCTCGTCACTCCTCGTAGCGGGGAAAGGGCCCTCCTGCCCACAGGCAGAGCTTCCTCCATGTGCCCTGTCGGTGACTTTCCAGACAGATCCAGGCGCGTAGGCAATGAGCTAGGAACCTAGACTTGCTGTTGGGAATTGTTCCCAAGTGTGCCCGTGTCTAGGCTGTGTATCCTTCTGAGAAAAACAGCAGAGCCAGTGACTTTGAGGAGCTGAGAACAAAGCATCCGGCTCAGCCTGGCGGTTCTGTGGGCTGGGCCTGACCGGCCCTGTCTGGAGCCACACGCGCTCTCCATGCCTGGCATTCTCCATCCTGCGGCTTTGCACATCTGCTCTCCCGCTTAAACTCTTTCTGCTTGAGACACAGCCATCCAGCCAAGGGCTTTTGTTTCGTGTCCTTTCTCTCTTCCGTTTTCCCCCCTTCTATTTCTTAGTGAAAATGAGGTCAGAGAGAGAGAAAAAACTTACAAGGTAAGTAAAGGAAATAGAAGGACAGAGAAATTCTTCCTGGCTGGAATCTGGACCTACATAATATTTAAATAATATTTTGATTATTTTCTTAGGATAAAATTTTTTTCTACTTCAATATTTCCCAAATACCCTGATAGAAGTGAGAATACATATTTTACTGGGAAGTATCAAGTCTAACAAACTGAAATCTGGCAGAAACTACTACCTTCAAATTTACTATATTTCATCAAATCCATGATGCCATCAGTTGTAAAATACAGTGTACCACCAAGAAAGAAAAAATATCTCCAGCCAAACTGATGACCCAATGAGGTTTTTCAGCCATCAAATTAAGACACATCCCAGCTCAGAGATTCTAAAATATGAAAAGTTTTGCATCTTAGAAAATACAAGATGTGATTATAACCCTTTGAAAATTGTGTCTTGGAGGTAAGGTCTGCAAAGTGAGCACGGGCAGTGGCGACCCCAGGAGCAGCAGGGGTCGGCTCTTTCCCTCCCGAGAGAGCCCGGTGCCCTGTTTCTGTCCTCAGAAGCAGCTCGGTGTCCCAGCCCACACCCTGGGCACGGTGGTCACCATCTGTGATTAGGCTCCTCACCTATGAAACATGGGCAGTACTTGCTGTGAGGATGGAGTACGTTGATACGGAACTCCTCCAACGGCACCTGGCAACAGTGGACACTTGGTCAACGGCCATCATTATCCTTCAAATTAGCATACTTAGCCTTACATAATAAATGTATTTATAAATCGTTTGTAGAAATATTTTTAAAGAAATCTCACTCTATATCTGTTTAAAATGTAATTTAGGGAAGAAATGTAATTCGAAGAATCCTTTTTGTAATGTGTGATTAAAAAAAGGACACTTACCCCCCTTAATTTTTTTTTTTTTCCCGCTGAGGAAGATTTACCCTGAGCTAACATCTGTGCCAGTCTTCCTCTATTTTGTATGTGGGTTGCTGCCACAGCATGGCTGCCAACGAGCGGTGTAGGTCCGAGCTTGGGAACCGAACCTGGGCTGCCAAAGCAGAGCGCACTGAACTCAGCCATTACGCCACGGGGCCAGCCCCTCCCCAACCCCCCTTAATTTTGATGCACAGTTGAACTTGAGTCAGCTCCAGTCTGGCTCCCCAGGTGGGAACACTCAGGATGGCCTGGTCAAGCCTGGGAATGAAATATTGAGCCCTGACTGTATGTGGCAAACTCATTTTTTCCTGTTTTTATGCACTTTCCTTGCAACTGTCTGATTCACTTGTCTCCAAGGTACATGATACTGGGTACATTCCAATTTTAGACCTTAAAAAAAATTGAATATGCTTGTGTTTTAGGTGGAATGCAAGATTACAACTACATCTGGGCCCAGTGTTTTGAAATTACGTTGGAGCTGTCATGCTGTAAATATCCTCCCGAGGAGAAGCTTCCAGTCTTCTGGAATTTTAACAAAGCCTCACTGATTGAATATATAAAACAGGTGCACCTAGGTTTGTAAGATTTTCTTATTAATTCCTGTCAATGCAAAATATAGCATCTGGCAAAACCTTTGGGTTGAGAAAATGCAAGCCCCTATTATGTTTTCTAGGTATAGCCTCATTTTTAGCACCAGAACTAACGATTAAGAATTCTGTCTGCATGAATATCTGCAGCGTGTGGGAAATGCAGTGCCCTCGGTTCGTAGAAGAGAAAGCATGATGTATGTTACTTTAATATGGGGGAAAAAATCCAGAGTACATGTTGAATGACCTGGAAATCTGGCAAAAGATAGGAAAAGAGGTTGTTACTCTGTTAACATCATCACTCATTTAGACAAAGCCAAGTGTGCTGGTCACTGGCCACACACTATCGAGACCCAGAGAACACTGGACGTGGATTTTGCATTTTTTTCTCGAACTGGGGTGGTGAGCTAGCAGCGTTAGCTTCTGCCCCTCGCACCCTCAACTCTGCCAAATGGCCTGGCACTGGGAATCTCCTCAGCTTGTCTTTTGGTGGCTGTCTGGCCTTTCTCACGATGGACAGACCAAATGTGGCAGAGTGTAGTTCTCAGACACGCGTGGTGGACCCACTGGGAGGGTTTGTTGAACACACGGTGCCATGCGCCGGCCCTGAGTCCCCGCCTGAGTTGTCTCGAATGGTTAACATCTGCCTGGGGGATGCTGATGCTGCCGGTCCGGGGACCACGCTTTGAGAACCACCGCACTAGCGAAACACACTGCCTGTGATGAGGATAGAATCACACACGGTCCAAGTTCACTTAACAGTCTGTGTCTCTTTGGGCAGGATGTGGAAGGCTCTTTTGCATTGCCAGAGTTAAAGTTGTTTTTCGCCATTCAGATGGCTTGGGGAGAGAAACATCTCAGGAACTGGCACAATAGTTGTGCTACCAAATCAAGCCAAAAGGGAGAGTGTGTGTTTGTGTTGATGCATGTTGCATCATGGGTCTGCTGCACAGCTGCATAATTCCTGGAATTTTCTGCATGCTTCGCACCAAAGCTTTCCACCTGCTAAAAAGAGATGGAGACGGTTGAGGGAGGGAAATGTCAGAAGCACAGGGGTCCAGGGCTGAGTACAAGGGCAGTTAGGAGCTTGCCTTGGCCACACATCCTTAAAATGGGTGCCCCTCTGCCCTTCATACCCACGTCCCCAAGCCCAGGCTCCCCCACCCTCAACACAGGGATGATTGATGGACTCACAGGGCTGGGTCTACCCAGCTGAGACGTTTGTGGGGGTAGGTTGACTCTCTGTGATAAGGGATGTCACAAATTGTCATCTTTCTTTTTCTCTGGCATCTTGACAACATTGATTAAGCTTATTACTGGGTCTCTCTCCTTTCACATTATGTCATCAAATTTTGTTTTGGGTCCTGTCTTGCTTAGTATTCTGGTGCTTCTCCAGTAGATTGTCTTCATGAGGCATGCGCTCATTTAGCCTTTCTGCCGTATTTCTGCCTGGATCGATCTTGAGTGTGTTACTCTGCCTGTTCTGTTCTAAAATTCCTCCTCCACCAGCATCAACATGGGAGTGCATCTGAACAGGAGACATGCTCCACGTGCCTGCACCACTATTTCTGGAATTTCAACCCAGCTGTAAAGGTTATTGGCCAAGCACTGAATTAAGGTGGGCTCTGAAGTATCAGGCTGACGTAACAGTGCCAGTGAAGGAGTTTTGTAAGCTGTTAAACAGCATATCAATTACAGCATAGCTATTGTTATTAACTTGGAGGGCTTCTAAGTCCATTTACACTGGGTTTTATAGAGAATATGTATCTATCTGCCTGTCCTTGTGATCAGACATGCATAACTCATATGTAAGAGCACATTGACCCTGCCCCCTTGTAGTTTAAGACAGAGATATTTTTGTCTAGTTTAATAGTGAAACCATATCAGAAACAGTGTGGTTATTGTTACTTGATAGAAAGGTTCTCGCCAGATTGGTGCCCAATAGGAAGCCAGAGAATCTCTTTGTTTGTGGACTATGGGAGCAAACCCCTCTTTATCAGCATTGCTCTGGTTTAAGGAAATTATGGATATTTTGTTGAGCTGCGTCACAATCACTGGTTGTTTCACCTCTTGCTAAGATGCCTCTGAGTCTCTGAGATTTTGACCATCTGGAAGTCTCTGGCCCACCTTGTCTACTGCTCTAGTGGGAGGGCCTGGCCCAGAGCGCAGGAGCCTGTTCTCCTGTGAAACCTTGAGCGAGCCCCTCGTCTGACTGAGGTTTTAGTCAACTGGAAGTTGGGAGTAAGAGCACGTGCCTTGCCTCACCCCAGCTTGTTCTCAGGCTCCGGTGGGGTTATTCTTTCCACTGAATCTCACTGCTGACTCAGTCTGAACTCAGACCTCTTGGTGCCGTGGAGTCACACTTAGAGGATTTACTCGGCTGGGGCTAGGATGAGGGTGATGCAGACTCAGGCCAAGGCAGCAAAGGAGGGCGAGTCTGAATCCTAGGGGCCTGGAATGTCCTGTGTGTCCCCTCTCTGAGGATAGCAAAGATGAGCAGACACTGTCACCTGCTGCTGTCCCCTCTCCCCTGAACTTGAAGCAGATCTGAACCTAGGATTTGGGGGCTGCCCCACAGCACTCGGAAACCTGAGCGACCTGGGTCTGAGAGAATCTGGTGTGTGCTGAGTTCCAGAAGCCCATGGGACAGACACATGTCTGTCATCAGATCCCAAAGAGGTGGCACCTGTGCTCTTAGGTGGGGACTCGGGAGTAGACGAGCTGTCTCCCGAGTGCCACCCAGCTCTGCCTGGGTTGTGGCCGACAGACGCAGGATGCCAGCTCTCGCCCGGCCCAGGCGTTCATTCATGAGGCTTGAACATTCCCGGGGGAGGACAGCTTTACCTTTCTCCCCCTCATTTCCAGCTGTGGCCACGGAATGTAAGTCTCAGTTTCTGTTCTCCTTTGTTTATTATCTTTCTGAGCTTTTTTTCAAGATTTTACTTTCCATTCCCCTGATGGGATGGTGCTGGCTCTCTCTGCATCTCTGTGGATCTGTGGTCTGTTTTCAGTATTTCAATTTCAGCATATAGAGAGAAATCATATCTTCTGGTAAAACAATTACTTCCCTCTAACTGAAAGGTCTGGTGGTGCCTGGACAGAGTATTGTAAAGATATATGAGATCTGAAGGCAGTCTTCATTGGGCTGGTGGCCTGGGGTTTTCCTCTAATAGAAATTCCACATTTAAGCGTGGTCTGCGTTTGTTCAGGAATAGAGTGATGTTCAGATATCCCAGCCTTCCTCAACTTGAAGAACCATCACTAGGTTTGGGGAAGGGTAATATGGGAACAAATCTTTGGGTTTATAGAGGATAGTGAGGGTCAAACTGGATATGAAGACTTCCAGCGGTTCCCCTAAGTCCAAGTTATTCCTCCTTTTCCCATATTTGAGGGCAGGCCGACTACAGGCCACTTGAGGTCTTTGTTCCACGTGACACATACTGGTAGAGGGTGTTGTGTGGGTACCTCAGGCCATCTCAAAACTCTGTTTGTGCTACTATCAAAAGAATTCAAGCCTGTTCTGTTCAAGTGGAACCGCTTCTAGCCAAGAAGGAATTTGCTGCCTCCTTCTAAGGTATCAGGACATTTTTTTTTTGGTGTCTTCTGCCAACTACTCATTATTAGCATCCTGAATCCTATTCCAGCATTATCTTAGATGTTAAAGAATGGTGCAAAGTCAGTTTCAAACAGTTTTGTTTTATTTTTTATGAGTTTGGGTTTTGTTTTGTTTGATTTGTTTGGTTTTGGGAAAATCAATGAAAAATACAAACAATGCCAACATACACACCACCAGTACCACACGTGGTCTTGCTCAAAGGCACAGATTCTCTAAGTGGCAGGAAGACTGTAAGTGAGCTCAGAGACCTGGAGGAGGAGGAAATATGCAAAGCTTCTCCCGTCACACGTTCCTGCCCTTGGAACAAAGCTGAATTGAGATTCTAGAAACTTGTCCAGAAATTCTGTCTCAACTCCAAATTGACACAGCTACAGTGTCTCTTTCTTTGTATAGTTTTTCTTATCCAAATAAGAAGAAAAGGATTAATATTGGTTGAGCCTCCTCTTCAGCTATTTGCTATTCTGTGCTATTTGCATTTAATCCTCACGACCATCCGGGAAGATGGTTGGTACCTGTCATCCCATTTTACAGGTGATGAAACTGAGGCTTGGGAATGTTGGTGACTTGGGAGCTGAGATTCAGATTGAGACCTGACTAGATTCTTTCTGTCATACCAAGTGATGATGATTGGGACGTGCTGTTTATCTAATGTATCAAAGGACCTCCGAAAAGGAGCACAGTGGAAATGTCTCTTCACAGAATAATGCCACTGAAATCCAATGAATAAATGCATAATCAGGTTACTAAGTTATGACTGATGTTTGTGGTTGAGTAATTCCTAAAGATGAAAGGGATACATACCAAGTACAAGAATAAATATAAATGGAACATTTTTTGAAAGAGGCAAAAGAAGAACAAATTACATGAAAGTAGAGGTTTATATAGTTGACCTGGGTTGAAAAAGTAAAGGAAATATGGCACTTAATAATTCCTTCTCTGGAGGAAAAAAAGAAGAGTCAAGAATTAGGGAAGAAAGTAAAAGGCCACTTGGGTCAGAGAGAAGTTTGCTTAATGTTTGAGATAAAGGTTTTGTTGCTAAATGTCCAAACTTGTACATTTCATTTGAGCCTTTTCTGAGGGAAGCTATTTAGTGTGTGCCTCACATTCTTCTGTCCCAGTGAATAATTACCAGGTATAACTGTGTGGGGGTAGTTCAGGGTCGTTTTCTCCTTGTGGCCTCTTCACCCTCATTTAAGACAACATAATTTGTCACTGGAGTGAACAAATTGGAATGTGAAACGTAAGATTTAAAATGAGAGAGCCTTAAAATATGTGGCCTTTTATTAACTGTACTCCTGAAATTCTGAGGTGAGGGGAGGGGTGTCGGGTTCAGCGTGGGCTCTGGAGGACTCATGTGGACTTACAGCAAGGC